AATTGGTAACTAATTATCCATGAAAAGTAACAAGCTCACAATTCTTATGCAGACATGCATGGAAACGACCCACAGGAAACAGGCCATAAACAAATGCACACTGATGCAAAGTTACACAGAAATCAACAAAGGCTTTCTGAATTAGTTTTTTAATGGCTACAAAAATGGGGACAACCAAGTTTTCCCGCTATGCCTAAGCCATAGGCCTCAGAATGCTGACAATAATTATGCAGTGTTTTTGAGCTAGGATTACAAGAAATCCACCAACTGTTAGCAGGTCCACCACCAACTAGGTTGTGATGAAAAAAACTCTTTTACAGGAAAATCAGTCCAAGCAAACAGCACACATATTAGCCACTTAATCTCTGTGCACCTGTTACAAAAATGAAAGAAAATGTAGCCACAAGAAGCAATTATGTGGTTGCAGCATTAAAACGCCAAACAGAAGTCTTACAAACTTTTGGATTTCAAATGCTTTTCCCATCAACACCTTCAGACAATTTACCCGAACATTTATAAAATGTGAATATGTTGTACTTACCTGGGTTTTCTAATTAAACAATTGTTGATATATACTCTTAGCATGTGTAAAGACCCATAAACTACCACCTAAAATAACCCTTGTTACCTTGCAAGAACTTTTTGGCATGCTACTTTAAGAAACATCTGGTTGCATTGAAAAAGATTCAGAAGATGGTTTAAACAATGCCTCAATGTCCTTTAAAAACTATGGGTAATTTATACACCATCACAAACAGCGCTCCACGTTATCTCTGTCTGCGTGGGTGATCTCGGCATGGCTTGCCTGTAACTTCACAGTGTGATCAACGAAACGCCACAAGACAATACACTCATTCAAACAAGCACTCAACAGATCCACAGCGTGAGATATAAGTTTAGGGAACACAGTGAAGACGAGCCACACATGATTAGATCAATCGCAATCAGGAATGATGCACTGAACACTGGGATCTCTCGGGGTCCGGGGCCCCTATGCAACTGAGCAGGTATGGGAGGAAAATATGAAAGCTAAAGTGCTGGCGGGTAAAGCAGACAGCCATAGGCATCTAACAAAAGGCTAGAGGGGAGGGGCTTACTCAGGATTGCAAGCTAGCTACATTTATTTGATTGTTTAAGCATTTTGGATTTCAGATGCTGCTAAATATTAATGGCACATTTTTAGTTTGCAAACTAAGATTAAAACTGAAAGCAAATATAATGCCAGAGCCATTTGCAAGCAAGCAATTTTTGGGCAAAAAATGTGTTAAGAAATTATATATTTTTGGTTTGATTTTAATGATTGTCACTAAAAAATAATAATAATAAAATTAAATAAATAATTTTAAAAAATTCATGATTATAATGATTAAAATATAAATACAAAATAAATCATATAAGAATATACTATTTACTACTAATATACAAATAAGAAAATACTATTTAATATAATACTATATAATATAAACATTTCCTAAAATATCTAAATTACATAAAGTGAATTAACATTACATTTTTGCAGGGTAAAATGACAGGGAAAATTTAGGCAGAGGGAAGACTCAGTAAGTACAGGGGGAAAAGAGGGCGTCAGATGTTAGTCCATTTCAAGCAACAGATTTGAAATACATACCGCCCAGATGCAAATCCAGGATCTCACTGTAATTAGACTCTCCCCAATAGTCTATAATAAGGATATATTAGAAACATGTTACTGCACACACAGGCACAGCCAGTAGCTTCAAGTCATGCATATGTTGCACACAAACACACACACGCTCACACACTAAGGTATGCTGAATACACACTCATCACATTTGTTATTTGGCATGTAAACACATGTAGTAACTTGCTTTTATAGTGCATGTCCTGTAATGGTAGATGAGCACATAGATTTGTTACACTGCTGTGTTCTGCCACAAGGGAGACTCTGGAGTGCGAATACGTTTTTGTATCAAACCCTTGTTTTGATTAAACACCTATCTACCTATCTAGAATCTATCTAAAACTCCTGTTATTCGATGTATATCAGGCATTTTAACCCTGAACAGCTTGTGAATATATGTTATGCTGAACAACAAAACATGAATATAGCATTTACCAGACAACTCACAACTTAGAAAAAGGTGCTTTAGGATCCACAAAACGGAATGATATAGATTCAAAACCGAAGAAACAGCCTATTTATCATTTATAGTGGCTCACATCCAGTGAGGCAGCATACAAATCTATGTTTGGCATGACCGGACTGATGGGGCATGCAGTTGAGACACACGTGAGGAGAGACCAGGAGTGACGATGTTCGGCATGAGAATGGCATGATACGCTGAGACGACTACAACAACTACTAGAGTTATCACCATGGATACCTGAGCGCCTCTTACGCTGTTTTGGACTAACACTAGAACCTTTATACAACCCTTAGAGAGAGTAAAGAATAAAAAGAGATTAATAAACACTAGATAAAAAAGATGTGATGGAGGGGAGAGGGGGAGGGGAGAGAGGAGGCAATAATTCATAATTTTTCTTCTACTGCCTATAATTACCCTACTGTCTGGAAATCACAAATCCATAAATTTTAATTTGTTACAGCTACAGCTACTTGATTTTGTTAATATTATCTGTTCATATTTTGCAACAGGAAACCATTTTTCCTTGAATCCAATAATGGAAAAGATTCTAGTAATTCTCTCAGCTGTTACTGTAGTACATATCAAAAGGAAAATCCAAATTTGTGATAGCTTGTCATGTGCAATTTAATGCAGAAAACACATAAAATATGATGAGAACAGCCATAGAACTGTCAAAACATTAATTTTGCAATACCTATATTTGATTTATTAGAAGCATTATACACTGCAGTTTTTGCAATATTTTCTGCAATATTTGAAGAAAAAAAAAACATATTTCTAATATGTATATATAGACATATATTTACATTTTCAAATAAAGACTTTAAGACTTAAAATACTCTTAAAGGATCTTCTAGTGAATAAAGATTTTTACAAATTATTTTACAGAGTTTGCAGGGCCAGGTCCAACTTTATGTCAGGTACAAAACCTTGGACTTAATAGATTTAAATGATTTTTTTAAATGTAAAAATGTGTCCAAGAAAACAAAAAAATGCCTTGAGATTCGCTTGCAGCTCAACTGGAGAGCTCAAAAAGCAATTTTGGCATATAAATAATTTAGAGCTGAGCATAACAAGAAAAAAAGATATTCACTACAAAAAAGTCTATGACTTTTTCATGACTTTCAAGGTTTTAATAATTATCATTGCCTATTCCAGGCCCGGAAATCACAATTCCCTGTCATTTCCAGGTTTTCCATAACCATGTGAACTCTGAATGTAATGCTAATGTTATGTCTATGTTGAGCCCGGTGTCACAAATTTAGAAATGAGATAAAACCTTCTAGCAAGGTTTGTATATGAAAAAAAAGGCATCACATTATTATGCATCAGAATACTAACTAATCCAAGTTCATAAAATCGCTTTTAATCATAAGGCAAATAATGCATAAACATTATTTTACATCATTTTAAGTCTGCACTGTAGTTTGAAGCTTGAATCTAGAAACAACAGCAAGCATGCAGCGCTCTGACCTAAAGGTCAAAGTATCACTACAAAGAAAAGCATGAGATATGAAGATCTACTCCAAGGCTTTAACCCTTCAGCAGCGCATCTGAGGAAACATTCAGAATGAAGTGAGACAGAAAGAGAAATACCTGCTTCCCCTCGCAACGCCTTTTCCACAGCGACACCTCTCTCCTCTAACTGCCTCTGTTTCTCTTCCACCTGCTCCAGCTGCCTCTGGATGATCTGAGGAATCAAAAAGCAGCTTCTAGTTAATTTTGTAATTTCACACTCATTTCTTCTGCATGGCGATGGCTGAAATTCAACTTTCTGACAACCTCATGCAAAAAAAGTCATTAGTATGCTTTCACCTGGGCTCTGTGGAGTCTCTTGAGCTCCTCTTGCTTGGCCTGCCTCCGTGCAGCTTTCTGTACTCTTCTTGTTAACTTGGCATTGAGTTCCTCCTCCGTGTATGTTTTCTGCAATAGGAAATTAAAAATTAGATCCAGCGCTCCTGTAACCTGTGTCCAGGTCAGTTGTAGATGGATCCTTGTCTGGCATCTCATAGATGTCTACGGCAGGGGTTTGTGGAATAGAAGGCTTCAGCAGAGTCTAAAACAGAGCCTAATGTCAAAGCTAGGTAACTACTACAACATACTTAAGTACTTCTGACTTACAATTCTAAAGCACCTCTAGATGCGATTTTAGCAGTATAATCAAGTCATTAGTAACCAAGTATAATCATAAGTATAACTTTTTATCACAATAATGGTACTGTGTGTGTATTTTGGCTGGAAATTCAACAAATAATTAAACACTTCAGTATATTAAGTACTCAAAAAAAGAAAACATGATTCATAAATTTACTACACCTGACATCAGTACAAAAGAGACTCAAAACAGTAATACTAACAAAAAAGAAGACTTGACTCAAACTTTAAATTCGCAGACTATGACGATAGATAGATAGATAGATAGATATTTCTTTGTGTATTTCATTGGTATTTTGCACAGAGCCAATCAATTGTAACAAAGTGTAAGACAGACATAGACTGAAAAAATATTGACTGGAGATGCTTTAAGAAAGTCTAGTAGAAGCTATGAAACAAGAAAAACAAGTTGCATGTAAACCAGTGAGGTACACAGTACAGAAAACAGTATGCAGCCAGAAAGCCTTTTAAGAACGTCATGTGATACGGTTACATCCTCCAACAGAAAGGGGGCGCTTTAGCCTTCACCATGCTGCAGAAAATGGTTAGTAAAACAATAAAGCAAACATGTTTTGACCAACAATAACAGACAGGGGTTAGGCATGACGGTGTGATATGACATGCGTAAAACAGGTAGACCAATGTGAATGAATGAACACACTACCTTTGTGGCATACGATCTCTTGAACGCCAATGCATGAGGTACATAAACAGACTTAGAAAAATAAATTAAAAAGGAAAACAAACAAAACAAAAATTATGTGATTAGATGGGTTAATGTACAATTAAACAAAATCAGGACTCTATGGCAACACACAAAAACAAGACTTAACATTTAAGGACACTGGGATGAGTGCAAAAGTACAAATTAATACGACCGTGTTTTGTGCAACACAATTAAACTCAGGGTCCAAAATTAACCCCCGCCAACCAAACTGAATATTTCACAGACAGAATGTGAAATATTCATCACATTAACCAACAAAATTAGTAAGAAATAGTTTTAAAAAAAAATCTATGGCCAAAAATTTTCACCCACCAATGGCAAGTGTGGCAAAGAGTTAATTTTGGACCTTTTAGACGTAATCTAGATTAAGATTTGCTAGAGAATACTAAAAAAAAAAAAAAAAACTCACAAAACAAACTACCTGTGACCTGAGTCATGACCACAACGGCTAGTTATGAAAGTCAGATGAACACTGCCCTCTAAAAGTGCCTACTATATATATATATATATATTTTTTTTTTTTTCCTTCTTTGAATTCTGGTGGACACCAGAATATGATTTTTTTTTTTGTCCTTCTACACATCTAGCCCCAATCTCTCTCTATTCACCTTCACACAAACACAGCAAGGCTAAAGATACTTGATTTCTTACAGGTTACGAATTAAATACAATGCTGTACAATATTTTTTAAATCTGTTTAACTAAAATATTTACTGGTTTGTTGGCATAGTGTTGCATTCATGTTCTGTCTGAAACCCAGTAGCTTCTAGCTGCTGTGCAATACATCACTGAAATACCTCTTCCTCTTTTCCTTTCTCCTGTTCCACATCCTTCATTTTCACAATCTTTTCTTTGACTCTTCTTTCATTCTCCCTCTCTTTTGACCTTTCCTTGCCCTTCTCTGTTACTCTTTTTCCTTTTTCCTTTGCCCTGTCCTTATCCTTCTCTTTGGATTTCTCCTCTTTAAATGCCTCTTTATTCAAATCTGATACCAAGTCAAACAGGTCCACATGGCGCTGAGAAGAGTAAAAGATTTCATTAAAATTGGAGACTCTGCAGAGAGAAAACATTTGACTCAAATGAGAAAAAAGAAGCTATTTATATTATATACTTACATCACCCTTGGACTTCTGAGAGGATCTTTCCAGTACATCATCAAAAGAGAGATCAGAGTCCTCAGAAAAGCTGAGATTTCTCCTCAGACGTAAATCTACATCAGTAAATTAGAGAGAACTTTGCATAAGAAAATCCCCAGTTAAAAGAGACTTTAAAAAAACATGTGTAACTCAAAATAAACTCAGCAAAATTCTGCAAGATTTTAACACAACCCATGAGGGTCTAAAGTGAGCCTGAATGAGAACTGTTCAGCATTTTCACAGGCACGCTCCATGCATGAAGGCTGCTCCAAAAGGTATGCAATTTAATGATGCCTCTTAATATACCTTGCATTGACCAAATTCTAAGGTAGCATCACATATACTTTTTGTTGAAAAGGGAAACCCAGAATGCACTGCAACAACTACAGGAAACAAATAAATCCAAATTTGTGGATGAGGCAAGATGTTGATTATAGAGCAACAAATTGTTCAAGCAACACCATGAAGTATTAATATCTCAATGTATATATATATATATATATATATATAGAGAATATTCTACACAATATTGTGCAATGTACTTTCATGCTTATTAAAGGTACCACATTATCTTAGCAATATGCTAACAGTAGACTATACAGGAATCCTTTGAGAGTCAAATCATTGAATTCAATGATGGTTTTGATGCTGTTTTGGAAAGGAGCTGCCTATTTAGGATTCATACTAGATTTTGGAACAGAGCTAGCATAGACAAGGATGAATTCTGACAAAGGGGGAGTTGTTCAAATGAAAAATTTCTAGCTGACCTGAGGACCTGTCCAGTGGTGATTCTTTCTTCTTCCCTGAGTCTTCAGTTGTAGAGCTGGAGGGTGTGCTTGGGCATGACTTGTCGTCTTTTTTCTTTTTGTCCTTCTTGTAGCCAGAGAACACCGCCTTCCACAGGGACTTGTGTTTGGGTGGAGTCTCTTCTGTGCCAGAGAGCCTTTCATTTTTGGCTTTCTTTTCTTTTTTGTTCTTGCGTGGAGAAAACAGTGAGCTGCGCTTCTTGCTTTTGCCCCCTGTTGAGCTTTCTGAAGATGTGACGGAACTGTCCAAGGTCTTACTGGTCGATGTGGTGAAGAAACGGTCAGGTAGTGTGTCTGTCTGCTTTTTGGACTCCAAAGCCTTCACTGCAGAGTCCTTGGGTGTGTTTGATTGCTTTTTGTTTTTCCCTGTTGTCTCAGGAACATTCCAGGCTACTTTTGCCACAGCACCCTTGGCAGCATCTGATTCTTTCATCTTAGTAAGCTGCTTGGACATGGCGTCTTTCAGAGCTTGGCTCTTCACAGACTTTTCCCGTGCCCGCATTCGCTCTTCTGCAATCTCCTTGGCTTCAGGAGAAAAATGTTGGGGACCCTTTGCTGTCCGGGAAACTCCACCAGGTATGTTGGGCTTGCCATTTTCCATTGCCAGTGCCAGGTGTAAAGGCGGCTTCTCACGGTTGACCTTGCTGGTTGGCGGGGTGTAAAATTTTTCCAGACCACTTGTGTCCGGAGTGCGGTCATCGTATGTGTCTTCAACGTCGTCAGCAAATGGTATCTCGTCTACACACTCCACAAAAGACTTTCTCACTTCTTCACGGCGTGGTTTATTCGGGTCCTTTACCCTCATAACAACAGGAGGGTTAGTTCCAGGGTCTGGAACTGGAGCCACAACTGGTTTTGGTTGAGGAGGACTAACTGGAGTCTTAGGTTTAGGGGGTGTAGTCTCAGGTTTAGGCTCCTCTGTGGCTTCAAGAAGGTTGTCCCAGGACACCTGAGGCCTTTTGTTTTGGAAAGAAGCTGGCTCCTCATTGGGTGGAGGTGGTGGGGGACTGGAAGGAGGGGTAAGCATGGTAGAATCAGAGTTGTTGTAGCTGTCACTAGCTACTGTCTGACTGGTAGTCACGCTTCCATTAAGACCCAACCCTGAACTGCTGCTCAAGTCCTTCTTCTCAGAACCATTACTCTTAGGTTCCACCGGAGATATAACCTGACCCTCCAAGGTAATGTTGATCCTGCGTATGATAGAACGGCCTGTGAAAGTAGGCTTCTGCTCTTCAGACAAGTCCTCTGGGGTGTAAGACTTTGGAGATGATGATTCAGGCGTTGGAGTTTCCACTGATGCTTTGCTTCGATCCAGAGGAGAGAGTCCTAAACTCTTTCGGATCTCTGCACTCTTCAACCAGAACTCCTCAATGAGGTCCGTTTTCTTGACGGGGGTTTCCTCAGGCACTGAATCTTTCAAGGGTTCATTGGTTCTCTTCTCAGAAGCAGGTTTAGCCAAAGGAGTGGAAGTGACAGCTGGGACTGGCTGAGTCCTGACAGGGGAGCTTGTGGAGAGGGGTGAGGGTGGCTCGTTGCAGGGTTGTGATTGGGTACATATTGGAGACAAAGGATTACTTGTTGGAGAGCAGGCACAAGGCTCAGGCTGGACAGGAGATTTAAGAGACTTTGTTTGTGGTTGTGGAACAGGTTGGGAGCAGATGGGCGATAGCGCAACAATTTGAGCAGCAGGTGAATGGGGACTTTTAGCATCAGGACTCTGAGACGGGGGAATGTTCGGTTTGACATTATCAAATAGATAGGGCTCAGGGAAAAAACGTGCACCAGGAGATTTAACTAGTATTACAGGAGAAATGTCTTTCACCTGTAGAAAGAGAAAATGAATGGTAGAATTTTATAGTATGAAGAGGCTTTTGTCATTTTAAATACCAAGCAAACAAGTCAGACCAAGACATTTAGATCCCACAACCCTGTATCACCTCTTCAATGGGTAAAGCAGGTTTTTGGATTGGAGACAGCACAACGTCCACAAGAAATTCCCTTGGATTTGCAGATGTTTTCTCTGCAAGGAAAAATAAAACTGGCTCAAATATTGATCGACATTGAAAATCCCTTGTGTTGAGATTTTAATCATCAAAGCCTGCGTAATTATGAAGCAAGACATTGATGTAATGTGTTCAGAGACGCAAGTTATGCAAGTGCATAAACATTTGCAATCATCAGTCTCAAAAAGAAATGGAAAAGGCATGAATTTATATGATTATGATTAGGTTATGATTACCAGTGTTAGAAACATGTCCCTGACTCTCTGCTTTGCCATTATCCACTGGAAGCATCACCACTTCATCTATGCAATGTGAGCGAGCTTCAGCCTCTGCGTCTGAGGGAATGTCCTCTGTGACATTAAAGAAATTAAAACAGTGTGAGAGCCTGTATAGAAACTACTATAGAAAATGTATAGAAACATATATTTTAAAAGCAAGCATTTTGTCTGCATTAATTTAGACAATGTATCATAAAAAAAAACGTTGTCAACCCTTGTTACCATTATACTTTCCCCTTTTTTAAATAATTAAATTAAATAAATTACAAAAAGGGGAAGCAACACAATCCTTTCAAAGACCAATGAAAGTAACTAACTTATGTAAAACAACTTTATCTTATGTTTGTCAGTAAGGGACGATCTTTAAATGTCAAGTCTGTTAATCTAATTTTATTTCGCAAAATAGTGAAGGGGTTTTCAATTAATTAAATTCTAACAGTTAACTCTGTAACCTTTCTGAAGGCATAATGATATATCATCATAAAATGGCACATGGATTTGACAAACCTTGATCTATTTCAGTGCCTGGCTCAAAGTCAGGACTGCCTGCTTCTGCTTCTGGGTCATCATCCTCTTCACAGCGCTCTGGGATCACAGGAGAAGAAAAATGTTGGTCAAAAGTCTAAAAGAAAAGGTAAAAACTATTAGCTCATAAATATTAGAAGACATTCTATGTGCAGAAGGTGTTAGCAACACAAAACAGCTAAAGAATGAAGAATGTGTGCAAAAAAAAGAACAAGCACAGAATGAATCAATCATGTAGCTAACAAATGATGGTCTTCAGGGAACATTAAAATAAACACACAATGAGTGCACATGGCAAAATGTAGAAATAAACAAATTGTATTAGTAGTTAAACACATGCAAGTGTCAATTTACACACAGTCAAATGGATGGGGCTCAAAAACAGCAGCTGTTGAGAAGGGGTGAGTAAAGAGTTGTGATTGAAACGCAATGACACCAAACTGAACATTACAAACATAAATAAAGAGGGAGATTTAGCTGAGACACCCCCTTCCACACACCACCACTTTTTTTTTTTTTTTTTTTTT